GGAGTGAGACATGTCAGACCCCACAATGCATTAGGCACAGGAAGGATGGTGTATCAGTCTGTTCTCACACTGCTGTAAAGAAATACGTCAAACTGGGTAATTTATAAAGGACAGAAGTTTAACTGGCTCACAGTTTCACAGGCTGTACAGGAAGCATGGCTGGGGAGGCCCCAGGAAACTTACATTTATGGAAGAAGGTGAAGGGGAAGCAGGCACATCTTATATGGCTGGAGCAGGAGGAAGTGAGAGAGTAGGAAGCTGCTACATACTTTTAAATAACCAGATCTCACTGATAACTCACTATCACGAGAACATCCCCAAAGGGGAAATTCACCGCATGGGAGGTGATCCAATCACCTTCCACCAGACCCCACCTCCAACACTGGGGATTACAATTTAGCATGAGATTTGGGTGGGGACCCAACTCATATCATATGGATTTAGCCCAGGGATCAAAGGAGGGCTTTGTTGAAGAAGTCATCTTACATTTAGGGAGGGGGTTTCCTGGAGAGGATGAAGAGCACACTGGGAAGATGCCAAACATTTTGGGGTATATTCAGGGAAGGTCGGAGGCGGAGAGGAGGTTGGACCAGAAGGGACAAGGGATCCTTGCAGGTGGACATCGCACAGGCTCCTGGCCAGGCCCTCCTCCAATGTCAAGGTGAGGCATGGGTGAGTGTCACAGGAGAACCACAGGAAGAAGCACCCTGAGCCACAGCAATTCTTATTTGGGGGTCCTAGAAAGGCCTGGACACCTGAGGAGTCCTGTCCTGCCTGTAGCAGATGAGTGCAGGGTGCTGGGGAGACAGTCTTGCCTTATCACAGAAGTGGCTTGAGCCCCAGCTACTTCTCCAGAAGTCCTGTTCTCTCTGACTTGTTTCCTATCTGTAAAGGGGGGTGGCAGGACTAACTGTGGGCATGTTGTGAAGACCAAACCAAATTCCTTCAGAAAATGCTTCACATTATGCCTGGCACATGCTAGGAGCCCAACAGGGCAGATGTTACCAGGATTGAGTCTGGAAACCTTGGGGGATCAGCAGGGGCCCCTGATCATGGTATTTCCCAACTACTGGGGGTCCCCACCCACTTTACAAGTAAACAGCTGCAGCACTGTTCCCTGATCCATGCATGGACTGACCCGGTGTGAATCAGTCCCAGGCTGGGTGCTGGCCTGAAGAGCTGTGGCCACCACAGCACCTGGATCCAGACTGGCTCACAAGAGCCAATTGGCCCCACCTCTCCCCAATCCCACACTCGGGGACGATACGTTGGCAGTCTGCAACTGGCCATGGTGGGAGGATTTACATCAAGGTAACCTGCAAATTCTTGGAATTGGGTCCTGCTGTTCCACCAAGAGCCAGTTGTTAAACATTTACTGGCACCCCACTGCTGGGCCAGGGGCCACATAAGCAACCCTGACCCTTCCCTGAAGTGTGGTCCATGGACCAAGCCTTAGCCTTACTAGGGAGCTTTCTGGAAATGAAGAACCCTGTGCTCCCCTACAGGCATCTGGATCAGAATCCCTGGGAGTGGGGTCTAGCAACCTACAGTTTATGAAGATCCTCAGGTAGGCTACAGTTTGACATGTAATGCTCTAAGCAATTTGGGGTGGGCCGTACAGGCGGCTGAAAGAGCTGGTTTCCTGTCCCAGAGAGCGGGAGCTTTGCAGGGATGTGGAGCATTCCAGTCTGAGAGTGTCATTGTCCTACTGCATAGTCAGGTGTCCTCTGATTTCCCCCTCAATATTGCAGAGAGAAAATTTAAGAGAAAAAAAATCTGTATTTCCACCAGCCACACAACTGTTCTCATCTCTCCATGTTTCTTTCATGCACATGTTTATATAATATAAATAGTGTAGTATTTGCTTTTTACACCTTATCACACACACACTTGCATCCCCGATTTCTTCCCGAACAACCACTGCCTTAGATTTTGACGTGGTCGCCCAAGACCTGCTGACTTTTTCCAAAAGAGATTTTGTGAAGTTCTTTGGGTTGCCTTTTATTTATTTATTTTTTTCTAGAGCAGGCAGCCAGGGCTGTACAGAGATGTTCGGTACCTGGAATGTAATCTTCAGAATTAACATTCCTCATGCTGGGCCTGGCCTGGGGAGCAGGAAGCAAACAAGCCTCTCCAGTCACGGGCAGAGTCCCATGGAGAGGGGCACAGATCCCTAATCCGTCTTATTCTGGGAAGTATTTTGGCACAGCCTGGCTCTGTGGTTTATAAACAAATTCTTTGTTTGCTGGGGGTATTTGCAGCTCCACTTACAAGGAAGTTATACACCCCTCTGCAGCCTTTCATAATGTGGCTGATTTTTACCTTCCGGTAAGGGCTGTAAAGTGCCTGGGTTTGGCGCTACACAAATCACTTCTTAAAGGTGACTTTCCTGTGCAATGAAAGGCTTGGGAGAGCCTCTAGCATCCTCTAGCATCATTTATTCTGTGGCTTTTCCTAAGACTTTGCTCATTCACTCAACAAATATTTATTGGATGGCTCCTGTGACTCCATCACATCACAGAGGTTGGGCTCGGGGGAGACAGAGAAACTGGAGAACAATGTTGCAGTCCTTCTGACCAAGTGCTTATTTGGCCTGTGAGGTAGTGAGGAGAGTCAGAGAGCGCAACAGAGAGAAGGCAACATTTGGCCCGGCCTGGAGGGAACGGTGGGAGTTCTCCCAGCAACAACAGCAGGTGAAGGAAATATCTTGTGTAAAGTGTTGAGGCACAGAAGGAGGTGCTCATGGAAGTGTTCGGAAGGCAGGGGAGGTTTGAAGCTGTGTGGCAGGAAATGAGGTGGAAATATTGGACAAATGGTCAAGTTAGGTGGTCAAGTGCCTACTGTGCCAGGTGGACTGTTTGGTCTTTATTCTGTAGACACGTGGCTGAGAAAGTGCCATCCACCAGACCCACACCCTCCTTTTGTCTGTGCACCCACTAATCCATGCATACACCCAGCCAACAATCCATCCTCCGCCCGGCTTCCACTAATTTATCTAGCCACCCATCCAGCCGAAGCATCCTCTGCACAAGGCACAGGATTTCTTATTTCTTTTTCTTGGAACCTGAGGGTCTTGAGGTTTCCCTAGCAACCCCTTGATACATATTCAACTCCAGAACTATCAGCCCCACATGCATCCCTCTGCAGACTATTTTCAGGTGATGGTGGTCTTATAAACAAGGAATTAAGTAGTCATGTGACAGTGAGGCTCACCTGGACTGATGACTGGGAAACATGTACCCAGGATAAAGGTATCACGGGTAGGTCTACTGAGCACAGAATGATGTGGAAATCTCATTCTGACAAATCATTCTTTTTAAGAGTCAGTTATAAAGCTGTCAGAGCACATGGCAACGCTGTTAGAGCATATGGCAACATACGCCCTTCACATCATTATGGTGTATTTATGCCCTTCAAATTTAAAAAAGGAATCTGGAAATTAAGAATGCACTATTTAAAAAACTCTATGAATTAACCTTTTGTTGATTTGGGGTGAGGGGAGGAGGGAGCAATGTTTAGCTCTTGGTCTTCTCAAATGGGTTCATTTTTGTAAATACTTTGGTCTAACATCTTTCATGATCTTTTATGGTGAAAAAAACATGCAGATTATAGAAGTCCTAATACACAGACGCATACACACACACACACACACACACACACACACACACACACGACAAGGTAAACAAAAATCACCCAGAAATTTTGTTAACAATTTGATGTCTTTTCCCCATTCTTTTCTCTGCATATTTTAAAGCAGTTGTTTTTAAATATCAAATCCATTTTACATAGCTTTAAATCTGACTTCTCCTCCCTCCACTTAATATATGATGCGATAAAATACAATTTTTTTTGAAAATGCCGCCTTAATGGCTGCGAAGAGCAACATTGAATGGATGCTCTAGAATTTACTGAAGCAATGCCCTTTATTTGAGGGCTTAGGAAGTTGCCAATGTTTTGCTTTTATTAAATGATGGTGACCATCCTTCTACCTCTGTCAGAACTCTGACAATTTCTAGATACAATTCTAGAAACGAGACAACCGAGAAAAAAAAGTGTTTTAAATGCTGAGACTTAAATCTCTCTTGCCATACTGCCTTCCAAAAAGGTACTTGGGCTTCACGAGGTTCTTGGCATGTGTAGAAGGTGTTCCCAGCTTTCCGCAGTGCTAGGGGAGTGCAGTAAGAGCGCGTGGCTGGCTGGCTGGCTGTCCCCGGAGCGTGCATGATGCTTCCGAGGAAACATTTAAGAAAAACAAAATAAAACAACAACAAGAACAACAACAAAAACCTAAAACAAAACATGGAATGATTTGCATTTCCTGCTTTCTATCGTTCCAAACTCAAACCAATCTGCTTATAAAAACTTTAAAGAAATGGCTCAAGATCCTCCTAACCTGAGTTTCAAACCGTTGATTTAAGTTTCGGATCTGAAAGTTGTATAACGAGTTTCTGTTGAATAAGACAATTTCCTACTCACTTTTTACACCTAAACGTAAGGTTTGCTCACTGACAAGTCAGACCATTGCCACTTCTCTCGAAGGAGGAGACAGCGTCCCCTGCGCTCTCAGAGCCGCAGCCTGGCCAACAAGGGTGAGGGTTGGGGGCTTGGCCGCCCCGGGATGGGGCGAGGGGTTCCCGAGGGCTTGGGAGGGCGGTTTGGGAGAGAGCTCCGGCTCCGGAACGGGGTGTCCTGGGAACAAACACTCCCGGGTCTGTGACTTCGGACAAATCACGCTCGCTCTCCCAGCCTCAGTGTGCCGTTCTGTAACTTGCGTCCAACCCCGGCGCGCACGGACCGAACGCCCCTCGGCACGGAAAGAGCCCGCGGAGACGCGCACAGAGCGGGGCTGGGGCCGGGGCACGGTGAGCACTCACCTCCGCCGTACATCTGGCACAGGTAGGGGAAGCGCCACACGTTGCCCAGGCCCACAGCGTACGAGATGCAGGCGAACACGAACTGCAGCGGGTTGGACCACAGCGGCCGCGTTTTCTCCATGGCCCCGGCCTCGGCGCGCTCGGCTCCGGCTCGGGGGTCCGGCACGGCGGTCTCGGTGCGCGGTCGCCGGGAGCACCCTCCCGCCCCCGGCTCGGCTTGGGGGTGGCCCCGTGCCTCCGCCGCCGAAGCAGCTAGCCGGTTTTTAAATTGCTAATCTCATTAACGGCGCGCCCGTCGGAGAGGCGAGGCTGGTAAATGGATGACGGCGAGCCCCACCCCGCCCGGCCGCCGCTGCCGGGAAGGCACCCGAGATTACAGAGGACAGGGCGGCGTCCCCCCGAGTCCTGCGGCTCGGCGGGGCCTTTCCTTAGGCTGCCGTACTCCTAGGAGTGGGCGCTTTCCCTCGCCACTCACCTGTCATTTATCAAGCGCCTACTGTGTGCCAGGCATTGTCTGGGGACACGGCTGTGAACCACATCCCAGCTCCCTCTTGGAGCTGACATTCTGGTAGAGGGAAACACTTGAATTGGACTGCATGAAATGCCCCATTTTCAACCATTTTTTTTTTTTTTTTTTATAGAAAGGACAATGTCATATGGTTCAACCTAGCCCACTTATAAGACTGAGAGACGCGAGGAAGACACCTAAGGCAAAGTAAAGGGGTAAGCAGTTCCGGGGGGTGGTCAGGGATGGTTAGGGAGGGCTTCTCAGAGGAGAGGGCATAACATTTGCCAGGGAACAGAAAGAAGTGAGGGACCTTCCTGGCAGTCCCGTTCTCTCCATCCACCCAACAGCTTGGCCCTGCGTGCCTACTGGGTCCGGGAACCGAATCAGGTTTTGAACTGTTATGGGGGACTCTACTGCTCAGGCCAGCCTAGGGGCCAGAAATTTTGATTTATTAGGCCAGGGTAGGGAACTAAGAAATCTCATATTTCTGCCAGTCTTACAATGTGATTTGACTGAGGGTAGTCACTAGACAAGACAGAGCTTGGTGCTTTGCAGTAATGTGGGATCTGGGTTTGTATCCCAACTCTGCTACTGACTTAGCTGTGTGACCTTGGACAAGGCACTTGACTTCTCTCAGTCTCTGTGTCCTCCTCCGTAATGCCAACAGATGTCTTCCCCTCTCTCCTGCCCGGCAAGGAAGGGCTCATGTGAGGATTAACTGGGAACTTAGCTTACTACCTGGCACAGAGTAAGTTCTCAATAAAGAGGCCGTTATCAAGTCTCCAGCAGGCTGAATGAATGAATGGGTAACACATTAATACTAATGCCGTGCTTTCAGCAGTGCCTGGTACATTGTAAGAGATAACAAAATGCTAAATGATAATAATAAAATTTAAAAGAGATGGAAAGCAGAGTTGCTAGTGAAAATCTGACTTGAAGCCAAAATGAAATCAGTGTTCTAGGACAGCTCCTCGTTGGGCTTTCCCTGGAGTTCCTCCTGCCTGTCTGGTCCCAGAGGAGAAGCGTGGGCAGGGTGAGGGAGGTGGAGGCTTCCTCAGACACATTACCTGTCCTGGAACCTCCTACTTTGAAAAAGCAAAGCAGAAAAAAAAGGCAGCACAGCAGGAGAAACTATTTAAAATTTTTAAACTTCAGATTCTAGATAAATGTTTTTCCTACCCATTGCCTCCTCCCCAAAGGAACCTACCATCCTGGTGACTAACCCCATGGGTTAGTTTTGACCTTGATGAAGATGGAATTAAATGGGATGTACTTTTTTTGTGCCTGGCTTCATTTGCTTACTGTTGTTTGTGGGGTTCATTCATGTTCTAATGTGTTGTGTAGCTGTGGGTCATTCTCTCTCACTGCAGTATAGTTGTCGGTGGTGTGAATATGCTGCAATCTACTACTGACGGATGTCTGTATTGTCTCCGGTTTGAGGCTGTCATGAATAGAGCTGTGATGCGCATTCTAGTGCACAGTCTTCCCTAGGTGAATGCACTCACTGCTGGGAACTTCCTGACCTTAGGTGTATTTGGCTTTAGCAGATATTGCCAAACTGTTTTCCAGAGTGGTAGTACCAGCTTATGCTCCCTTTGCATCCTAATACTTGTCATTCTGTTTTTAAAGGTCTGTGCAGTCTTGTGGGTGTATAGTGATAGTTCATTGTGCCTTTTTTTTTTTTGAGTCTTGCTTTGTTGCCCAGGCTGTAGTGCAACAGTGCAATCTCGGCTGACTACAAGCACCACCTCTGGGCTTCACACCATTCTCCTGCCTCAGCCTCCCAAGTAGCTAGGACTACAGGCACCCGCCACCACGCCCAACTAATTTTGTTTTTGTGTTTTAAGTAGAGACGGGGTTTCACTATGTTAGCCAGGATGGTCTCAATCTCCTGACCTCGTGATCTGCCCGTATCAGCCTCCCAAAGTGCTGGGATTACAGGTGTGAGCCACCATGCCTGGCCCATTGTGCCTTATTTTAACTTCCCTGATGACCAGTAAAGGCTGCATACCATTCCATAGGCTAACTGGGCCATCTAGGTATCTTTTTTCATGAAGTGCCTTTTCAAATTTTTTGTTAGTTTTTAATTGTGTTGTCTGATTTTTTCCTACCAATTTGTAGTTCTTTATATATTCTGGATATGTGTCCTATGTCAGTTTAGTGTATTACAAATTGCTTTTCTCAGGTCTGTGTTTCCTTTTATTCTGTCAGTGGTGTCTTCTAATGAAGAGATATTTTTAACTTTAACAAAGTCCAATTTCCCAATCTTTTCCTTTAGTGTCCTCGTTTAGTGATTTTTCTTATGTCCTGTTTAAGAAAGCACTCCTTTATCAACTCCAAGGCTGTGAAGATATTCCTGAGAATATATAAGACTCAGGCAAAATGAGTCTCAGCCATCCATAGACTCCTTACCGCAACGGCAGCATCTGGAGTGCCAGCATTTGCTTATGCTTGTTCCCTGGACTCCAATTCCACGGGGCTGCCTTTTTAATGTTGTTTTGTATTGTTTAGACAGAAGGCTTGTTGCTGCCTCCAGCTATCTACTTGCATGTTCTTGTTCTCATATGTAAGTTATTCCTAGAGGGTACCTGGCTATGCAGTGACCTTCAGGAACTGGGCACTTTGGAGAGATGCCTCACCTGGACCATGAGGCTGGCTGCTGGGACCTTGTTGGTTTGGTGGAGGCAAGGCCTCTCTTTAATTCCCCACCCCTGAGATCAGGCCAGCATCTCCTTCCATTCATACTGCTATACTCCCTGGGAGCCCATCCAGTGTGTGAGGCCCTGTGTGGCAGCTTTGGGCAGCACGAAGAATCACCCAGATAACCCTAAAGACCAGTAAGGAAATGCAACGGGGCAGATGCTTAGGGTTCCTGGTAAGGTCTCCATGACTTTCTGAAGCCCATGTGACAGCTCTAATCTGACAAGGCCAGTTGTGCCGCTGGAACTCCTAGAGTAGAGAGGACAGGCCTGGAAGGGTTGGGGGGCTTCCGCAGAGAGCCAGCACGACAGAGGGTGGAGAGGAGTGGTAGGCTGGCAGGTGTGTAACCACTGGCTCTCTGCAGAAAAAGCTCTGATTTGTCGCATTTGCCAATTTCTGTGGTGTAAACAGTCTTACTATAACCTTTTTTTTTTTTTTTTTTTTTTTTTTTTGACAGAGTCTTGCTGCGACGCCCAGGCTGGAGAGCAACGGCACAATCTTGGCTCACTGCAACCTCCATCTCCCGTGTTCAAGCAATTTTCCTGCCTCGGCCTACTGAGTAGCTGAGATTACAGGTGCCCACCACCAGGCCCGGCTAATTTTTGTATTTTTGGTAGAGATGGGCTTTCACCATATTGGCCAGCCTGGTCTTGAACTCCTGGCCTCACGTGATCCACCCGCCTTGGCCTCCCAAAGTGCTGGGACTACAGGCATGAGCCACCTCGCCTGACCTTACTATGACTGATTCTAAGCTACCAAGGTGATGTCACTAAACGTGGAGACATGCGGTAGCACACCATTGTACTGAGTCTCCACTATCCAGATACAACAGGCATAGATAATAGTACAGTCAGTAATTAGGAAGTGCCAAGTTTTGCGTATTTATTACCTCTGTTTAAAATAATGTATTCAATTGTTAGCTTATGTAGTTTAATTCTTAGTGGCCATGTTTAACAACCAGCCCACAGAATTCTAGAAAATTTACCAGTTGGTTCTCAAGAGTGTGTGGGAGCTGGCTCTGGCATTCCACAGGGGGATCGGGGCTGGGGAAATCACTTCTGCATGGCAGGGACAAGGGGAGTGAGTTCAGCTCAGTGATGTCTGGTGCCCCATGGCAACGGGGTTTTCAGCTTAGCTGAGCCCCATTCTGAGTGCTCCTTGGGGCCTACAGTGCTAGTATGCAAGACACTGCCCGTGGACCGGTCTCACTGTGCCCCGTGTCAATCAGGACAGACTTACCTGCAGGATCGAAGGCTAGCATGCCTTAGTTATCTGATTTCTGGAAGAGGTGGAGACACTGGGGAGGGCCCTGACTCAGCTGCATGGGTGTGGGCTACTGGGCCCACGCCAGGGTTCCTGATTACCCTGCCGACTATGAAGGTCATGCAGCTTTCAATAATTTGCTCATCCTAGTGATTCCATTGTTACTTAACCACCATCAGTGGCTCCCAGTCACCACAAGATAAAGTCCAAACTCCTTAGCCTGGTTTGTAAGGTTCTGAGGATTTTAAAAATTGGGCCCTGAGGAATTTAACCCTTGCATACCTAGGCTCCCAGAGAAGCTAAACTTTTCACTTTCCGGAAAATGCTATGCATTTTTATACTTCTGGGACGTCTCTCAGCCAAAAGCACCTCTGCTTTCTCAACCCAGAAAAATCCTGTCCTTTCTCTTGACCCAGATGATTTATTACCTCTTTTTAAAACTTAAATTTTAACACATTAATTTTTTAGAGATGAAGTCTCACTATGTTGTCCATGCTGGTCTTGAACTCCTGGGCTCAAGCAGTGCTCCAGCCTCAGCCTCTTAAAATGCTGCGATTACAGGCATGAGCCACTATGCTTGGCCTTTTACCCTTTTTAAGAAGCCCGAGAACCCCATCTGCAACTGGAATATATTGCTTGCTCTTCCCTGCCCACAGGCCCTGGGTACATACCTGACTTTTTTTTTTTTTTTGAGATGGAGTTTTGCTCTTGTTGCCCAGGCTGGAGTGCAATGGCAGGATCTCAGCTCACTGCAACCTCCATCTTCTGGTTTCAAGCAATTCTCTGCCTCAGCCTCCTGAGTAGCTGGGATTACAGGTGTGCACCACCACACCAAGCTAATTTTTGTATTTTTAGTAGAGATGGGGTTTCATTGTGTTGGCCAGGCTGGTCTCAAACTCCTGACCTCATGATCCACCTGCCTCAGCCTCCCAAAGTGCTGGGATTACAGGTGCGAGCCACCGCGCCCAGCCCACAGCTGACTTGTAATGCCTGCCAGAGCTGTGCTGTCATGAAGAGTGCATCGTATGTGTCCCCTCTGGACTGTGGCTCACATCATGCCTTACTCATCCTTTTCTCCCCAGCGCCAGGTACATGATTGAATCTCAATAAAAGTCAGCTGGTAAAGGAAAAACCTGCTGCAGATTCTGAGCACTTTAGTACAAGTTTATTTCTGCTGTTCATAACTTTGGCAACAGTCAGATGTCTGCATTTCAGAACATTTCTTCAGCACATTCAAGTTCTTGATATGACTGTTCTCCCTGCTTCCCAAAGCACTTGCTCACTATCCCTCAGGGAGCACAAAGACACACACAGTACAAATAGGAATGTAGAAGCCACCAGGAGATTCTGCAAAGGAAATGCTGGGGCTGCTGTGTTGACTTGCCTAGCTCAGGTGGTGAAGGAGAACCTGTGGGTGCACGTGCACACATGTGTGCGTGTATGTATGTGTATGTGGTGCCAAAGAGGTGGGAATGTCCCAACTTTTCCCTGAGCCCTGTAACTCTCTTGGCTGCAAGTAGAGCTTCTGGCCTCAGAGCCCCGCTGTCTCAGAGCTGCCAAGCTCCTTGGAGCAGTGCTTCTTAAACATCAGTGAATCTCCTGGGGGTCTTGGTCCAATGCAGATCCTGGCTCAGTAGGTCTGGGACGGCACCTGCGATTCTGCATTTCCCACAAGCCCCCAAGGGATGGTGGTGCTGCTGGTCCAAGGCCCTCATTCCAAATCAGAACCATCAATACTCCCGTTCTCCAACCATGTTTGCCATTTTTGCCAATAGCCGTATTTATCATGCTTGTGAACCATGTGGACTTTTATCATTTTTCTTTAAATTAATTCACTTTTCACTTAAATACATTTGAAAATGAAATTTTACATCACTACCACATACGTAAAGCTAGTGTTTTTAAAATTCATTTAAGATAAATTGACGAAAAATTAAAAAGTTTAAATGTCTATGTCTGGTGCTGCCTCAAAACACGTTAGGTACTCCCAGTGGCAGATGTCCCATATTGGGCAACGCAGACCTTGCCCACAAACCGTGCCACAGAGCCCTAGAATTTCATGAATGTGCCTGTAGGATTGTGCCCAGGGCTTGGATGGGGTGGTGGGAATCCAACCAGAGGAGCCCCACCACCATATCTTGATATTCTGTATTGTGTTTCTGTGTGGAATTCCATTTGACAAAAAAGTTAAGGTCCAAAACGATCAGAAACCTGCTGCTGAGCCCATCCGTTTGTTTTAGAGACGCCCTGGAGTCTGCGGTCCGATATGGTGGCCGCTAGCCACATATCTTTACTTAACTTTAATTAAAATGAAGTACAATTAAAAATTCAGTTCCTTAGTCACATTTCAAGAGCACAACAGCCACATGTGGTTAGTGGCTACTGTCAGGACAGCACTTATATAGAACATTTCCATCACTGCAGAAAGTTCCATTGGACAATCCTGACTTAGGGAAGCTGGGAAAAGAATTTGGTGATAATGCTTGCCACAGTCTCTTGCCTTCTGGGCCTGGACTGTGGGCAGCTGCTTGGGATAAAGTAATGTCCCTCACACTGTCCCTTTGTTCTCAGAGAAGGAAAGATGGGAACTTCCTTCTCTTCTCTCCTCTGCCTCTCACAATGCTGACCAGGGGATCATCTCCCGGGAGGAGGCCAGCTGTGCTGAAAGTGGCTCCATCCCTACAAGCTACTTCAGCTGCAAGATGGGAAACTGTAATACTATCTTTTGAACTCCAGTCCCTACCTCTCCTGCTACCTTTCAGTCTCCTGGGCCCCGGAATGTGCTCTCTGCCCCACTGGTCCCCTATCTCTGGCCCTCCGTTTTCCCAGTGCCTCCCTCCCTGGCCTGGCCTTCGCGGTTGGTCAAGTCCACGTGTCTCCCTCTTACTCACCTTTGCCTTCTGTTCCTTTTGCTTTCTCAGCCCTGTGCCACCCAAACTTGAGGATTTCTGGGCTCCCCAGACTGCTGCTAGGGACTTCTGGAAAGTCTCACAAAGCTATGACTGTATCTGCTGCAAGCATAGACTGTGAGGCCGCGGCGGGGCCTTCCTGTTGCGCTCACTTCTTTGTGATCCATGTCTGGCTGTGGTTCTTTCTTGTGGTCCTGGGGCAGGGTTCCCAGATCTTCTCCATATGCTTCAAACTTTTCTTTCCATACTCCTCATCCCGCTGATGATGTAATAAAGGTCTTGGGAATCTCCCAGATGGCTAAGGGAACCACCCCCAGGCTGGGCCTCCACCTGAGATTCTCCCTCCTGTCCAGTCAGCTTGAGTGTGGGCTCTCACTCCCTCCTGGCCCTTCGGCATCTCTCCCATCAGTCATCCCTCTCTCCCTGGCATTGCTGATGGCTTTTCTTTTCCTTTCCTTTCCCTTCCCTTCTTTCTCTCTCTCTCTTGCTGTTTGCACAAAGACATTCTCAGGTTCCACTAGAAGCATCTTTAAAACCTTCTAGATCTGCTTACCATCAACCTTTAGACAACTGTGTGGTCCACATTCCTTACCTTGGTTCCTCATCACACCCTTCATTCCTTTACCTCTTACAAGGTAGTAGTGTGGCACTCAGACCTAGATTATAACAAATCCACTCTGTCAAATATACCCAGAAACATGACCCATCCTTTTTTCCTTCTGTTATAATGGAGGGGTTAAGGGAAGACCCTTCTTCCTGGCTAAGCCCCTTCCTATGCCAGGACTATGTGTGCCTTCAACTTCCTCTGTATCTTCACACACCCGGGCTGATATAGGTATATGGTAATTTCTAAATAAAGACTAGATGACTTAACTTAAGGAAATTAATATTGTTAGAGAATAGAGAAATTTGGAAAATGATGTTAATGAGTACTCAAAAAGATATTAACTATATTCAATTTTTTTCTTTTTTACTTTTCATAATGAAATACATGTAGAGAAAATTACACATAAAAAAATCTATACCTCAACAGATTATCATCTCCTTGTGTCTTTCAGATCCCAACTTTCTCCCTGAAAAAGTATCCACTATGCCAACAGTCCTTTCTTTGCTTTTTTGTGTGGTCTTACCACTTAAGCATGAATCCCTAAACGCTATACTTTAATTTTGTCCGTGTTTTAACTTCATATTGTGAAAAAATAGAGTGGCTATTCTTTGATGTCTGACTTCTTTTGCCTTACATTATGTTTTCTTTGTTGTTGTTTCATCTAAGTTGATATTGCAGCTATAGTTTTTACTTGGCCAGTCTATTATATTTCTTATGTAACTACAAATTATTTAACCATTTTACTGTTGATAGCTATTTGGATTACTTAGCTTTTGGATATTATGAAAAATGCTGCTTGGAACATTCTGGTACATGTGTTCTGGTACACATGTGTAGAAAGACTGAAACATAGTGTGTATGTATTTTAAACTTTGATAGATGATTCCAAAAGTGTTTCAATTCATTTATATGTATGAATTAGAGAATTCTAACTGCAATATATTCCTGCATAGTCTGATGAAAGCAAAAAAAAAAAAAAAAGGAGAAAAGAGTTATTAAAAATTCAGGACAAATATAAACCACAAAGTAAGACAGGAGAAATATCAGTTCAAATGTATCAGTAATTACAATAAATGTAAATGGATTCAATGGACCATATGAAAGACAGAGACTATAATGACTGGAATAAAAAATTCACACATACAGTTACATGCTATTGACAAGAGATATACCAAACATATGCTCACAGCAACATTTACAGTAAAATGATGAAAATAGGAAAACGCTATCCAAAAGAAAGCAAAAAAAAAAAAAATCATTAGTGATAGAAAGGACATCTATCACCAGAAAGTTATAACATTAAAAAAAAATTACAGTTCATAAAACAGCTTCAAAAAACAAGAACAACAAATTGATTTATTCGTGGATTACATGGATAAACTGACATATCTACCATCATGACAGAGATATCTGTACTTATTTCTCCATTTTTGATAGATAAAGCAGAAAATAAAAAGAACAGGGAGTGAAAATTGATGATACAGATTATTAGGATAAAAACTAAAATGGAACTTCTAGAAATAGCAATAATAGAAATTAAAAATTAAGTGGATGGATTTAAAAGTGGATGAGACACAGTTAAGGAGAGATTTGATGAACTAAAAGATATGTCAGAAAAAAATTATGTGGCACATTGCAGAGTTAAGACGCGAAAAACAAGAAAAAATTTAAGATATATAAATAAGCTATGTAGGACAATAAAGTCTAATATATGCTTACCTAGAATTCTAGAAGGAGAAGAGAGACTGGGACAGAGAAACACTTAAAGTACAACAGCTCAACATTTCCCACCACAGATTCATGAAGCCCAGTGAATTCCACGTAGGATAAAAAAATGTAATGCCCATCAAGATGTCTCATGATCATGCTCCAGAACATCAGGGTGAGGCCCTCAACCCACATCAAAGGTCTCGCTGCAGAGGAGTATTTAATTGGTGGCATTTTGAAAAAAATTAAAAGGTAGAACTTAAATCTTGGACAGGTAAAATAGCATATGACAGAAGAGTGGTAAGAGCGGAAATGTTCTAAGGCGGTGAACAACTTTAGACTTTGTGAAAGTATGCAAAGCAAACATTTCAAGTTGTCCCCAGGTTTCTTTTATAGCTTTCCAGGATAGAAAGAATTCATACACTGCATTTGGTTGTCATGAATACAGTTGCTTTTAGGACAGTTTTCCCACCTTTTTATTTTCAAGACATTGACTTTCTAAAGAGACCAGGCTAATTGTTTGAATTGTATAATGTCTTACATTGAGGATTTGTCTGATTATTTCATTGTGGGGTCATTTAATATGGCCTTTTCCCCCGTGACTTGCAAAGAATGTGTTAATGTAGTCTTTATACGGCACACGCACGCGTGCGCGCACACACACACACACATTATAACATCCTATAGGCACTTAGGCAATTAACTGTATTTATTATTAACGGAATTTTGAATTTAAAAAGTGTATAGGCTAGGTGCAGTGACTCACGCCAATCATCCCAGCACTTTGGGAGGCCGAGGTGGGAAGATCGCTTGAGGCCAGGAATTTGAGACCAGCCTGGGCAACATAGTGAGACCCTCTCTTTGCAGAAAATAATTTTTAAAAAATTAGCTAGGCATGGTGGTACACACCTGTAGTCCTAGCTACTTGGGAGGTGGGAGGGTCACTTGAGCCCAGGAGTTGGAGGCTGTAATGAGCTATCAATGTGCCACTGGACTCCAGCCTGGGTGACACAGTAAGATCCCATCAAATAAACAAACAAATAAATAATAAAATAAAAAGTATACAACCTTCCTGAGTTTACATTCACCAAATGGGGCGTAGTGCTGACCTTCTTCACTGAGCTAATCCAAGCAATTTAGAATATTTAGCAAATATAACAAGAGGCAGAGAGCTTCTAGGATCAGAGGAACTGCTGGCCAGAGCTGAAGGCCAGGTGGCTGCACAGAACTGGCACTGGGTTGGCAGCTGCAGGCTACAGCTCCGTGTTGCTGTGGCTCTGTTTCTGGCCACACTTCTGTGAGATATGATAACAACTAATGGGACACAGATGACTTGAATGGCAGCCTTAAAAATAAAAGAAAATGAAAAGACATCTAAGACTTGAAAGCAAAGAAAGCCTAACTTAAAATAATGTAGGGAAATACTAACATAAATGTTTAAACTTGTACTTCACCAGTATATACTGGTAAAAACTCAGGGCTTCCCGAGCCTCTGAGTAAGGTTACAAAATGATTTTAATATTCCATGTCCTTTTGCCTATATGCCTACATCCAAAGGACAACTGTGTCAACTGAGTAACCCAAGTGGATTTTCTGTGAATTGATGCCTATGTTGTCTGAAGTAACTAATTTCAGTAAACACCACAAAGTGGGAGTCCTTTCTAAAGGAACAAGAGGAATGGAACAAAGAGGCATTTTTCAGGTCAGAGGGAACAGATGCAGAAATGAGCTTGTTCAGAAAACATTGTGGCTTCTCACCACGACCACTCAGCTGATCCCCCGCATTAAGGAAGATTCAGCCACGTGCTATGAAAACAAGGGGCTCAGAGAGCAGTGAGGAATCCTTCCTTCCTTTTTGTTGGTCTTGGCTGAATTTATTCCTTCACCTCAAATACTTTTGCTGGGAACAAGCAATCAAGACCAACTAGAAGGCATAATCTGGTGGAGAAAAACAGATGGAGCACTGTGAAAATATTTTCAAGGGTCAGGGTACACCTGGGGCCATGCTGTCTCAATTAGTGACCCCCTAAGGAATTTCACTGTGTCCTGCTGCGCTGTTTTGTACTTGCTCTTTTCATTTCATAACAGGAGAAGCCCTGTGAATCTCACTCTGCCAGAAAACACACATGCTTTGTTTCACAAGCTTGGCGGTTTAAATTATATTTGATTTCTTTCCCCCCTCAATACTCCAAATGTGGCCTAGGGATGGGCAGCGTCGGCATTGCCAGGGCACTTGTGGGAAATGCAGACTCTCAGGCCCCTCCCAGACCTCTAAAATCAGAACCTAGTTTTAAAAAGCACCCCAAGGGATTTGCAGGCAGGTTAATGTCTCAGGAGCACACAGGCTTTTTAACCCTGGCTGCACATCAGGATCATCCATATGGAGCTTTAAAATACAGATGCATGAGACTCCCTGAAAAACCGAGCTTGGCAGAGGAGTCTCTTGAATGTTTGGCTTCTAGAAGCTTCCATGGTGGCTGATGTGGAATACCTTTCTCCAGAAGAGGAAGGTCCCTACCAACACTGCCCTGCCACTCATTAACATTTCTAGATCTTCTCCCCTCTGGCTCCCCTCCAGTTTCCATATCCCCAATGTCCCTTGTTTAAGGTCCACCTCTGCCTGCTCTTTCCCACTGTTAAAATTTCTCTTCTAAAATACATTCAGAGTCAACAGGAAAAGGTCTTAAAGATAATTTGTCATAGATACCACAACAATTTCTTCTCATGAACTTGAGGAGCCCAAAATCTTTTCCCTGCTTGCCAAGGTGCTATATTGTCTGAAAATAGCTCAACTGCTTGGGAATGGTTTTGCAAAATCAATTCCCTACTGCATTACAGGGAATTAAGTGCTCCTAAAACTTCCCTTCTGACTTTGTTTCCATTTCCTAATATACGGCCTACCCAGAATGATGTGTTATCATTGTCTGTCACATTTTGTTTCATTTATGCTGTACTTTTTTGGCGGGGGGGCACGGAGTCTCGCTCTGTCACCCAGGCTGGTGTGTACTGGTGTGATCTCAGTTCACTGCAACCTCCGCCTCCTGGGTTCAAGCAATTTTCTGGCCTCAGCCTCCTGAGTAGCTGGCATTACAAGCACATGCCATCACGACTGGCTATTTTTTTGTATTTTTCAGAAGAGACAGGGTTTCACCATGTTGGCCAGGCTCATCTCAAACTCCTGACCTCAGGTGATCCATCTGCCTCAGTCTCCCAAAATGCTAGGATTACAGGTGTGAGTCACCGTGCCTGGCCTATGCCGTACTTTTTGTGTTATAATACAGCATATATGGCATAGAGCATACTATGGAAAATAAATACACGTATAAATGATAATTACAAGACAAGTGCTCTTGTAGCCATCACCCAGGTGGTTGAGGCTTGGTATAGTGTGTGGCCAGTTTTCATAAATATTCTGTATTTGCACAAAGAGAAAAAAAATTGGATGCTGCAGTTTGTTTTATTTATTAGGCCAAATCTGCTACTGTATTGTTCCTATCTTCTGTATCCTTATGATGATTTTGTGTCTGTGTGTTCCATCGA